ATATAGAAATCAGTGAAAATATTTTAAATGATAAAATGTATTTCAAATAGGAAGTACAACCCTTGGCTTGCCTGCTTTTAACCATCTATAAAATATAACTAATTATAAGAAAATATTTATAAAATGTCTTTATATAATAAAAGTAAGTAATTTATATTTATATATATATATATATATATATATATACATCTGTATGGCAAACATCCAATATTGACTTGAAATCCTCTTATGTATTATTAGTTGCTCTCAGGTTTTGCGTAAAATTGAACCCTGATCTCTTGTACGCTTTTACAATATGAAGTGCATTTTAAGTAAGAAAAGGTCGAAGTTCATGAATTTGAATAATTCTTTTGCAATATATTTAAAATTTATTTTTAAATATTTGCAAACATTTAAAATTGTTACATCAACCTTGCCAAGAAAACTATATAAGGCAAATTGCTGGAACTTTCCATACCAAAAGTTTGGAAAAAATTGATTTTTGAGATTTTTAAAATTTTTGAAAAAAACTTGATTTTTATATTCTGAAGTATTTTAAATAATTTGAACTTTTTCAATAGATACGAAATATTGAAGCGCATAAGCGCCGGGTCTCAGTCCAATGGATAAACAATGTTACGGAAGCCATAAAACAAAATTTATACTTATTATTGAAATCTCTATAAAATATCTGATAATTTGATGTACATATGTCTAATGATCATTTTTAACCACTAAAGGGCTTTTTTCAAAAATTTTCATAATTTTCAAAAATCTCATTTTTTCAGTTTTCAAAAAAAATATTTTTTTAAATTTTTAATTCTGGTACGGTAAGTTCCAGCAATTTGCCTTAAGGCACGATGGCATGCACCACCAGTTTGAGCTAGATATTACACTTATTATTAGCATAACAATATAGAATAATCATCTGGATTATAAACATCGATTAGTAAAAAAAAATTAACTAATCTAAATCTAAAACACTGCATGAAAATACATAAAAATCATAAATATCCATCAGAAGATAAGCTTGGTATAACACTTTGCATAAAAATACAGGAAGATCAGACGGATTAAAAATAACGATCAGTAGATAAGTTCGTTGTAACACCTTGAAAAATATGCAGGAAAATCACACGGCTTATAAATATCGATCAGTAGATAAAACAAACCGTGTTTATTCAACACGTGGGATGCCGGGTTGTTTAAAAGGTGAATAATTCTGTGTTTTGATAGCTTTAGGAGATGTTTGTTTACGCGTTAAGAATTATTTGCTTTAAACGAATATCTATATATAAACATCGATTCTGTATACATTTTTCTTTAGTAGCATATTGTTTACCTCACAAAGCGAGCTTTTGTGGAGCTTTACCTCCGCAGGTAGGCGTGACGTCGTGCTTTTCCGCGCCCGGTCACGGAGAGCTCCCGACCCTGCCAATTAAATGGAAATGCGTTATCTGATAATACTGGGCACTGGAGGGAAAACTGCTTTCCGCGGTTACAAGTTTTCGGATAGTCAACTTTGTTATTTTCACAATATATTTATTAATGTTCATGGTTTTAATGTCTCTGTTTGTTTGGTTTGATGGATTTTTCGACGGACCAATGATTTGTTGTAAAACACTTTATTTTTATTATTGATTTCGTTTTTATTTTTAATATAACTACAAATTCTATTTGTATTTACAATATTCTCAAAGTTTAATATGTATTGTATTGATTGATTTTATTTTCTTATGATTTTTTATTTGATTGCTTTTGTTTTTATATCAATATATGGCATGCCTTGATTTTGGCGTAAACACTCTGACCATTTGTTTATTTTTTTAACTGACAAAATAAATTTTATCATAACAAGACAAGCAAATTCTCGTGGGAATACTGGCAGCTTTATGTTCTACGTCTATTTTGCTCCATTAATTAGTTTTAAATTTTGTCCTAAAATTCTGATCTTTGTACACTATCATTAGTTGAGCAGAATATGTTAATTGATATTCTGTATATATTTTGCAAATCTATTATTTACCAATCGACATCATAAACGAATGACATAATTAAGGTAAAAAAGCTACATTTATTTATGTATTTTACTAGCCGTCAATATATTGGTATTATAATTATAATACCTCATATCAATATTTTACAAATTTTGTAAACTTTACAATTTTTGTGAAGTATAGAAACTTTTTCAATATAATTGTTTTATTTAAATTTTTTTGGTTATTTTATTATATGACACTTTATTTGAACAAATTAATGAACATTGTCTTACTACTCATTGTGATAAATTTATAAAACATTATTTGTCTCAAATATTAATAATTTGATGTATTAACATAAAAATTTCATGAGTATTTTTTTCTGATTATTTAACGATTCTGCCGTGGCGTTAACATTTGGCATATGGGCTAGCACAACTAAACTCGGTTGCGATCCCAACTTTGGTCAGCTTGATGTCAGGCAGTATTATATGAAACTTCCACACGAGGTTATAGATCTCAAATATAGTCTTGAGTAAGTTTGAGATTCGAGCCTTGTCGTAAGTCTATAATAGTGTTCAAAACTTAATATAGAACTATTATTAATATAACTATTAATCATATAACTATTAATGTATCTCTGTTAATATAACGAATTATTTGCATTTTAATAACGTTTTTATTCAGATTTAAGCAGCTTTCAAAACAGCTCATAAATGCCTATTTTTTCTGATTTCTGTTAAATAAATCAAAATAATAAAATAAACGATTATTGACAGTCAATAATTTATTAAACAGTTTGTTTAGTAATATTTTAGATTCTATTTATATTGCGATATTATACCGAATAAAATGTAAATTTTTCTCCAATATAAGTGTAGAAAATAATGGCAATAAGTAATTGGAGTGATAAAATAACATATGTTAATGTATTATTTACAATCAAATACTCTATAGAATTGATATTATTTTATATATCCTCTTTTTTAATTATGAAATTATTTTGGAAAGAGTGGAAGGATTGATTTAAAATAGAAGTTTGACTTCATTAACATGCACTTCTCTGAAAACGATTTTGCTAATAATTAATTAAATTTATTTATTATATGAAATGTATTTATATTTGATTAATAGATATTGATCTCAAAAAAATTACGAAGTATATAATGAAATGTATAAACAATTATCTGGTAATTTTAGTATCTTATACTTATATTTATCAAAATAGATTATATATTTTATTTTATTGATAGTCTTTCTTTATTTGGAAACGTGTACATGAGTCACACATGAATAATTTCTCAAGTATAAACAAAATTGGTTGTATATAATTAGTTTATTTCTTTGTGTTTTACTTTTATTTAGTGTGGTTATATTTATGTATATATATATATATATATATATATATATACTGCTAAGTTTAATTGCGTTAATTGCATTGATTCATTTATAATTACTTATTTTTGTAATCCAAAACAATAAGTAAAATAGATGATAGCAAATTTTAGCAAAAGAAGCGTATCTATATTATTTTTTAAAAATTGTTCAAATATAATATAAATTGAAAATAAACAATAATTTAAAATTTATGTTTAAGTAGTTTAAAACAATCCTGCTTTCATTAAAAATATCTGGTAAAATAGTGTAATAAATGGTAGTCTGCCACAAGACAAAAAGCACTATAAATCAATTATTACCTTTCCTTTTCTCATAAGTTTGTTAGTTAATTAGTATTTAATTAAAATCTTTTTTCCAATTTTATGCAGTTTTCATCCCAAATTTTAACTTTCGTACTTACTGGTTTTGTGCCTGTATTTACTTTTCGTGCATATGTCTACAATCATATGCATTCTTCTTTTGGTAAAATATATTTGTAAAAAATTTAATTATTTTATTGTTGAAATCTACTTAAAATAAAAATAACATAAATTACATAAAATAATATAGCTAGTGGTGCATGGCATTGTGCCTTGAGGGCCTTAAGGGAAATTGCTGGAACTTTCCATACCAAAAACTAGATTATTAAAAAAACCTTTGCAAAACTTTTATAATCTTTATGAAATATCTGATAATACGATGTACATATGCCTAATGTTTATTTTTGATCGCCAAATAGCATTATTTTTACTTTTTTTTATTGGATCTCCGGAAACGCTGGACTTTCCTTTACAAAAATGTTACTAATTGTTCATTTCGTCAATATAACCAAAATGTTTTCTGGATTACTTAAATCGGACGCTCCGTTTTCTCAAAAACTGAAATACCTTTTTTGGCACTTTTTGCACCGTATCTCCAAAACGGCTAGACTTGCCTTTTCCAAAAACTAATCAACACATCTCCTTATCAGTAGGAATCGAACGATTTTTAAATTATTTAAATCGGTTGATTCGCGTTTACGAAATCATCGACTAAAATTTGTATCCGCACACACACACACACATACATCAATCTTTTCTATGGTATGCCAAAATGTTCAGAAACTTCTTAAACGTAAAAAAATTTTGCGATTATAATAACTTATTCTACGGGAAGTTAATGAATAAAATTGTATATTTTTATTATGATACTCAAAATATATTACACTTGATCTAGAATAATCTTAATGCGATTCCATAATAATTCTTTTGTAATCCACAAAAATATGCGATCTAATCAAATTACGACTTACTCAACAAATATCAATAAAAATTTCATAAATATCTTATCTACTGTACATTTCTCACTAATCACAAAATTAATTTCATCGTAGGTGCAATATATCACAGATAAAACCATGAATCGCCTTGAGTGATGGATGCGTCGATGAATTAGTTTTATAGGTTTTTATTGACGTTCGGCGAATGTTTTAAATAAAACATTAGGAATGTATCGGTTTCTTTAAACTGGCTGCGCGTAAATCGTTTTATAGGATTAAACGAGCCATCAATAAAACAAAAGCAAACACTTATTTGTACCTCTACTGTTCTTGATATTGTTCTATATGATGTTGCTCCGACCTCCGAATGCAGCGTAGTAAGTGTTAACGCGCGTTTCAGTTCATTCTACGCTTCAAGCGTGCTAACATGTGTTTTTGAGGAGAAAGATCAGACCAGTGAAAATTTCGCTCGATTCGAGAAAATTGCTATTTGGTTTTTATAAATCGGTTTCGATAAATATCACTGAGTGTGTATGGTGACAAAAAACATTTAAATCAGCTGAAATAAGCAGCCTACATAAAATTTAAGCAGATTTTTCGGATAACCGTGTAATATGTATGAAGGTAAAAAATTATTTTTATTATTATATATGTATATATATATATATATATATATATGTGTGTGTGTGTGTTTGTATATATAGATATTTATTGTTCGCACTATTTCTTTAAATATTTTTCCCTTGAAATGAAGAATGAAAAATCATTTCCAAACTAGTCAACAAAATTACTGAATGCCTTTCCGTTTGTAATTATATTGATATAAAAAATAGACTGAATTTGAGTACAAATATTTGATGGACTTTTAATATAGTTCATTTAGTTTGGTACTAAATATATTTTTCAGGGTCTATAATCTCTTGTATTAGTTTAAGTACTGTTCAACTTCAAGGGGAATACAAAGAATCTTTAACATTTTTCTGTTAAATCTAGTGTAATTGTTTGTAATTATAAAATTTTATTAGCAATCTACAAAATAATATTTTGCTGGATCAATGATGTAACTATACATACTTTCATCCAGATAATTAAATGAATGATAATTTAAATTTGATTACATTTATTTGTAGGACTATTATTATAGTTTATGGTTCTAAATAATATATATTTATTATAATTAAAAATATATTCAATACATTATGAATACTTGTTTTAGTTTACATACTTTATACTTCAAGAGGAATACAAAGATTTTTCTTAACATTTTTTTGATAATTTTAATGTAATTATGATATTTTATTAGCTATCTTTTTTCGAAATAATTAATTAATTATCCTTATTTCAATGTCAATTCATACATTCTTTTTAACATTAATCAATTTATTAACTTTATTTAGGTAGAAACAATCCGAATAACTTTATTCATCGAAAGCATTTTTATACACATATTTTTCCTGTGCTAAAATTCCTCTAAAACTATATAATAGGATTTTTCTTAACATTTCCTTTTGATAATTTTAGTGTAATTGTAAACATTGTTCTGCGGAATCAAATAAAGTACTTACACGTGTTTTTATCTAAATAATTAATAAATTATGCATATTTCAATATTTTTTTAAATAATCTATCCATTTATTAACTTACTAACGTTATAATCAAACTAAATACACTATTTGATTGACTGGTAGTATTTTGCACATTTCATCCTGCACTAAAATTCATTCAAAACCAAATTATAGGATTCTATTCAAGAATATTTGTTTAGTGTGTATAGTGCAATTTTTAAGTTGAATATAATTTTTAAGTTGAATATATAATTTAAACTTCGTGAAGAGCTTTTTCATAAATCTTCTTTATTTAATTTCACGCTTATGATTTAATACGCTTTTATAAATATTTTGATTTAATTTGGATTCGCTAATTAGGCGGAGTTAGTTAGAAGTCAATGTTTAACAATTTAATAATAATTTCTAGCTAATTTGCTCCACCGACTCCATCTTATATTTTTTGTTGGCAAAATAATTCAGAAGATAATTGTTATTGCATTATAGAGTATAATGATTGTTAATTATTATGAATTGTTTAAGGATTGAAATAACTTAAAATAATTACTTAATTATTTAAATTAGGTATTTCAGGGTTTATTAAAATTTTTACTTTCAATTTTTTTTCTACATAATAATGTATTTATAATAATACAAATTATTTGTATATATGAACTGAATTTTTAGAGTTGTATTATAGAATAATATAATTTCTGGGGACTATGAAAAGTTCGAAAGTAATTGAAAAAAATATATATAAACCATCATTCAATTATATTATTAATAGGGATATGAAGTTCTATAAAATTAAAATAAAAGATGAAAATTGGGAATTTTAAATAATTTTTTTTAAAGCTAAAGAGGAATATAATGTTATAATAATTTGCAATAGTCTTGAAGATTTTTTTTATCAAATTCACCAGTTAACATATAAATGCAGGACAACATATAAAATTCCATTTTGGCATTTAAACGCAAAAATATTTTTTTGTTTCTTTATAAACAATATCATCGATAATTATAATTAACCATGTTTAAATATATCGATAATTTGATATATGTAAGGATTATAAAACAATTTTTGTTATTCCCATATTTAACACTATTTTTGCTTCTGTATTTTAGATAGTAAACGGATGGTCTATCTGATAGACTCATATTTTTAATAGTTATTTTTTTTACTATTGCATTTTGATAATTTTCTTATTATAAATTACCCAATAGGGCTGTTATATTAAAATAATCATATGAATATATTTTGAAGTATGGTTTTGTAAATTTTCATAATTATGACTTGGGTAAAAAACAATTTTCACCCTTTATGTCATGAAAATACAAATAAAACAGCATTTGCTATATTTTCAGTAATTATAGAATCACAGCTGTAGGGAAAATGAAAATCAAGCATCCATGGTAATTAATTTATTTTTCAAACATGTAAAACAATTAAAATACATATTGTGTTGCAATAATTCTATTGTGATTTATAGCAGCATTGGTTTTATTAATATCATAATTATACGTTAGAGAAAATTCGAACCGCTTATCGGAACTACAATTAAGTGATAAAAATCGATTTATAGTTTTTATTTCCTCCGGAAGAACTAATGAATGCATTCATATATATATATATATATATATATATATATATATATATGCAGCTCTACATTCGCTTATAGGAAGCTTTTTAATTTTATTTATAAACAAGTTTCCTATGCAAAGATTATAAATGCACGAGCAACTTTATTACTTTTCTATGAACTTTAAAAATTTCAAATAATTTTCCGGCCAAAACTTAAGCATCTTATAAACTTATTTTCGCAATTGCACGTACACACATATATAATGCATTTATACAAGTTTAGTCGGTGTATGATATTTTCTTAGTACTTGATTATGTGTTTATTTTCATGTGACTTGCTTATAAATAGCCCAGCTATTCGTGCATAGGAAAACTTAGTTTATAAATAATGCATATCAATGCTATTTGTTGTGTACTAGTCATCGAAATAATGAAAAGCCATTCCGAATTCTATCTTATGGAATTTCAATCGCTTAATCGGTGATATTTGTCAACAAATGATAAAAGTAATCTTGCATAGGAGGAAAAATTTATTTTTGCGTTTGATTGATTGCGTTATCTTTGAATAAAACCGAAATACTATGTGAATTACATTGGCATATTCTAACTGCATATCTGTGATCAAAATGATCAGATCTAATCAAATATAAAAATTTTAATTGGGATTTAATATGAATGAATAAATATTTAAAGAAAATTACATAATTAAAATGTACACTTTTTTATTTTTTGTAAAAGCATCTATTACATTGAATGTTTAAAATACAATTTTCTATTAAAATTTTATTTCTTCAAAGCTTTGTTTTCTGCAAAACGAGCTCAAACACTGACGTCTTCTTGCAAACACTTTACTATAGTAGTACACCTACGTTTGTTTCATTTAATTAAATGTTTCTTTTACGATTTATTTAGTAATAAATTCTAGAGAAACACTTTTAAGAACAGAATTTCTAGAAAATAGTTCACTAGTACGCATAGATTTCTCTCGTAAAAGTAATAAATTAAATAATTTAGTGACAGTAATATTTTCAATATAAAAATCTTTTAATATTAATTCAATATGTAACATTTTATACATTTAAAGTAATTACTTTTCATTTAGTAAGAGTAACATAAAAATCAGATACGAAATTAGCAGATATACTTTTCAAAAATATATATCAACCAAAAAACACCTTTATTATAATAACATCATGGTGTTTAAAAATATCCAAAGACTTAGATATCAATAAATATAATCATTTTTCACCAAACACTTTGTCTAAAAGCACTTGCTTGACTTTTTTGTTATATGAGTGACACTGCTGTGCGAGCCAACATACCGCCTAAGTGTTTTTTGCCGAAAATGTTTAAAGATTTTTCAATCACTTTCAATAAAAATGATTTAAAAAATTGAAACTAAATCTTATGAAACTAGCAACAAATTAGAATAATCAATTATTTATTTAACTCAGAAATAAATATTGTAGCTGTAAAGTTCGGCAGGCTTTAAGTTGTGTATAGGAGACACTCGTACATACAGGTCGACAAACGACAAACATATGGCCTTTAGGTGCCTTTTGAAGCAAAAGGGTTGCATTTAATTAAAAAAATTAATATAAAAATTAAGTTAAATTGAGAACTAGTTATTAAAGCCAATTTATTTGAATTTTATTTAAACTATTATTGATAAATACAAGCATTTTCTATAATTTACTATAATTGTATGACGTTTTATTTGTGTTTTTTACGTGTGCCTATACGTTGCATTCTATACTACACGCCTTACATCTGTACCATACGCTATATTTTATTATATACTCTCAAATCCCTACATTGTATACCGAATACACCTAACCTATATCTACTATATATCCTATTACCTATAATTTCCCTTACACGCTACATTAACCCTACCGAGATTCGAACCCGGGTCCGCCGCGTGGCACGCGACGACCTTATCCACTACACCACCGTAACGCTACAATCAACCGTCTTTTTTCGCGTGTCGTCGCGCCACCTTAGTATTAATTATCTAATTAATTAGAAAATGACCTGCGGAAACAACAGTGCGTCCCATATTATATTATTAGTGGGGGTACCCGATAGGGTAGCGGTTAAGGTGCGCGACTTCCACGCGGAGGTCCCGGGTTCAATTCCCGGTATAGGCAATAGATAGGTAGAGATAATACATAGGGCGTAAGGTAATAAACCTATATAATATAGGTGAATACATAAAGTAAGAAGTAAAAGGTCTGTAGGTATATAATAAGTTAATGACGGTATAGATATCTCACGGTATGATAGATAATAGATATCTATATATGATATACAATAATATAGTATAATATGATAGGTAATAGGTTATCTATCATATTATTAATAGAATATATAAATTAGACAGTAGTATTTATAAGAAGTAAAAGGTATGTAGGGTATATAATAAGTTAATGATGGTATAGGTATCTCACGGTATGATAGATAATAGATATCTATATATGATATACAATAATATATGA